GCCCGCGACGGGGGCGCGGCTCGCTGGCGGCGGCGCGAGTGGCTGGGACGGGCTGGGGGCGCGCCCTGGTCCCGGCGGCGGTGGTGTGTGGGCGCGGCCCAGATCCGTCGCGGCTGCAGCTCAGGTGCTCTGGGCCCTTGTGGTGGCGGGGGCCCGGCTCGCCGCAGGTGGTGGCCTGCTCCGGTGGCTGCCCCTGCTGCAACGCTCCCTGGTGGTGGTGGATTTGTCGGCCCCCGGCCGATCCGGCGATGGCAGGTGCCGCGGGCTGTGCTCGGCGGGGATGTGGGCTACCACGGCGTGGTGGTGGCTCATGGCGGTGGTCAGGATCGTCTCACGACGGCGGCCGGACTTCTTTGGCGTCGGCCTGTTGGTGAGCGGCCTGTGAAGAGCTTCGACCCCTCTTCTCGATGCCCGGGCGCAATCTTCGTCGGTGGGATGGCCCTCTCCCTGCTGCGACCCATCGCTAGTCCCGTGCTCGGGCAGCAGGACTGTGCTTGTCTCGCGCCCGGTAGCAGGACCTCCTCGTCTCGCGCCCGGCAGCAGGACCGAGCCCGTCTCGCGCCCGGCAGCAGGACCGAGCTCGTCTCGCGCCCGGCAGCAGGACCAAGCTAGTCTCGCGCCCGGAGCTGGAGGACGAATTGATGGACTTGTGTGCCTCGGGATCCGATCGTCTCTTCCGTTGGGGTAGCGGCGGGTGTCGGTTGTGGTGGTTCCTAGGTCTTGGATTCCAGGGCGGCGGCCCTGGTGATGGTTGCGCAGTGCTCATGGGCAGAGCCCGTCGCTTGGTGCTGCCCGATGGTCATGGCCGTGTGGGCGGCGTGGTTGTCGGGGTGCGGCGTTCGATGGCAGTGAGTATTGGCCGGGGTGAAAACCTGCTCTTTCTTCGGACAGACCGGCGGCGGCGTAGCTCGTTGCCTTCTTGAAGGCGTCGTCGCGGCTCTCATTGTCTGTCGTGTGCCTCCGGGGGAAACCTTGATCCTCGGATCAGGCGGTGGCGACGCTCCCGTGTCGTACCCTTCCTGAAGGCACCGTCTTGGAGCTCACGGTTCGTCGTATGCAGCTACATCTCTTCGTGGTGGCGTGTTCACTGGTGGAGTCCCGGGTGCTCGAGTAGTGCTAGGGGTCGTGTTGCTGCGCTCAGCGCCTATGTATCCTGCGTGGGGTGTGTGCGTGTGTTGTGGTGGTGTGCGTCTGTACCTAGATGTTGTTGGTCATTGCTTTATTTATAAAGCGGGGCGAAAGCCTTTTTCGGTATAATCAATTTCCATAATTGTTTCTTTTTTCCCTTAAAAAAATGTCTGTTTCATTTGCTCTTCTGCAGGAGCCCGATTGTATGCTTTACGCGAAGAAATTCATGGCATTACAGTCCATCCACCTGTTTATTTTGCCATCTTGGAATAATGTTCTCGCAATAGCTAATCTCCTTAAAGCAACTCCTGATCTTAAAAGACTCCGTCTAGAAGTATGTCCTCAATGCTCTCCTTTTTGTTGTTCTTTGTATATTTTTTTACCCGAATGCAGATGTTTTTTCATAGATATAAAAGAATTAATTATCTTGTTGGCCCTCTGTTTGCAAAAGTACTGGCTTACAAGGTTAGGATAAATGAAACTACTTCATCCAACATACTTGTGATAAACTAGTGGTTTCCACTATGGTTATTTTCCGTTAACACAATGAATTTAGTTGTGGGGTAATTTTTCTTATGTACTATACATAAAATCCTTCTTTTGGTCTGTAAACGGCCCGTGTTTTGTTTCCAAGAAAGCACTTATTATGTGATGTCTTCTCATAGAATAATTTACCTAAAATAGAATGAAGAATTTATATTAAGGGCCTGTTCGGAACCTCTCCAATCTCAAACTCCGCTCTGCGCTGTAGAGGAAAGGAGGAGCTCGGTTTGAGCCACTCCGTCAAATTGTGCTGCCGCTCCCTCCGCTCCGGGAGCTGCAGTTGTGGAGCGGAGAGGATCCGAACAGGTCCTAAATCACATCCATGCAAGTTAGCAAATTTGAAGACAGCTCCGTGCGTGACAAGGATCGAGATGTCAGTTTCTTACACATAACATGTACTGGTGGCCAAACCAGTGTAGTAGTATTACTTTATATGAGTTGATGGCAATGCTACACCCAACAGATTGAATCACTTGCTTTTGGATCATGTAGCTTATGCTAGTGGTTGCCACTATGGTTATTTTTGTAAGTCGAGATTGAAACCCTGCAAAAGGAGCCTGGAAACATTTCCATCTTTAAATCTGTTGCATCACTATATCATGAACTCACCACACCTTGGGCCTTGCATGCAGGCACGCAGCGGAGACCACCATTATCGGGACGACGTCCAACTCCAAGTCAGCTGACCCGGGGGCATCTCCCTCAAGAGTCTCCGTTTCATCACCGTGGGCGGTTTCACCGTGCAGGCCCCGCTGGTCGAGCTCTTGGTGTGCATGGTGCTCGCGAGCACCGGTTCAGGGAGGATATATCTCCAGATCGACCCGCACCACCATCTCTGCAAAGGGCTGGGGAGGTGGGTCAGGGAGGACGTCGGCGACAAACCGGCGAGGGACCGCGCGAGGAAGGCCGCCGAGGAGATCCTCCGCTCTCGGCTCCCGCCGTCTGTGAAGCTCGTCATGAAATAATTTGCTTGGGATCTTCTTGTGGCTGGGAGAAGGGCTTCGTTCAGGATGATGATTTTTCGTGTTCTTTTTCATTCTGTTGGCCTGGCTAGTGTCATGTGCCGGCAACAGTTGGATTCAGTTTGTTTGGAAAGCTCAGGACTGACGAATTGTGTGAAAACATGGGAAATGCGCATTCTTGCAGTAACAGGACCTTCCTCTTGTCTCTATATCTCTATATATACTGTAGTTTATATAGACTGCTGAGACCCTCCTCCTCTTGTCTCTTTTCTTTTTATCTCTAGAATATCAGGACTGTATATCTGAACCTTAAGCTATCGGGGACAACTTTCCATGTTGTTTTTACCCCTCCACTCAACCGTGTGCAGGTGCGCGTCCGTCTATGGAGTCACGAGATTAAAGGTGTACTTGCTCTATCCGGATATATAGGCCTAATATGTATTTAGAGATTTATTTACATTGACCATCGAGATAAAAATTGTATGAGATTGAGATTTATGAAATTCTCCCATGTTTAGTTTGATTCAAACCGATTTCTTTTGACATTATGTGCGGACTTTATTCTTCCACTATGCACCAATGCTTCTGGAGTCTATGTTGTATATGCTCAAACCATCTCAGACGCTAGCTGTTGGACATGTCATTTCTTAGTTGGCACACATTCCTTGCCATACAACATCGCAGGTCGATCGTCGTCTTATAGAACTTGCATTTTGGTTTTTATGGCACCAGAAGCTCGGCACCATCCGGCTTTGATTCCATGACTCAAATCTTCATCGATATTACAACGTTATAAAATTCGTTCATATTATCTTAGTTGGCTGGGAATTAACTAATTCTCGATTGATTTTACATCTATTCATATACATATCTAAATTAATGTTTGTCGTAATGCAATAACTCGCTCACCCAGTGAATTTTTTTTTAGTTTCTCCTTCGTCAACAAGGAAGCTATTAACATAGAACGGTGCATGGTCCAAGAAAAATCAAGTTACCACTAGTTCCCACCACCGATCGGTGTGTCTCGTCATCATCACCGCCCTTCATTCGTCATGATGCCTAAAGAGATTGTTCACGAATGAGCTTGATGTGGGTTGCAAGCTTTGCGTCGTCGACAAAGGTAATCATTGACTTACAAGAGTGACTGATGCAAGCACAGTTATTTTTCTTTTTCTTACGAAAATGGTGCAAACAATTTCCCTATTGGACCTGTGTTGAGTGCAACTTCCATATGTGGGAACTATGGTTGTGGTACTTGTTGGTTTATTTTTGTAATGAAAATGGAAGTATGGAGCCCGGGTGACCCATGATTATTGGAAAAAAATGGTGTAACCACACTTTGC